GTTGCTTCAATTGACTGGTCAAAAATGACTAAGCTTGCTATTTTTACGCATCAACTCATGATTATCGCTGGTATTATTATGGGTATATGTGGTCCAATTGGAAGTATTTTAAACATTTGTGTTTTTACAATGTGGTCCCGCTCTCGACAAACAACGAGCAGATATCATAATAACAATCGAACAAGCGATAGTCCTTTGTATTTACTTACTTCTTCAATAGCTGATTTGATTGTAATTGTCTATTCATTGACCACTCGTATTATATTTGATGGTTATCAATATAAAGCTACACCAAACAATGCATTTATTTTATGTAAACTCCGATATTATGCTTTACATACATTTGATCTGATATCATTAACATGTCTTTGTTTAGCGACATTTGATCGATATTTAATATCATCACGAGAAGTTCGTTTACAACAATTAAGTACAACAAGACAAGGAACAAAATTAGTTATTTTACTTCTTATTTGTTTAATTGGATTACATCATGCTTTTTAGAAGAATCATTGAGAAGTAGCATTGATTGTCATGCTCTCTCGTGTGAAATTTGATTTTGATCAGAATGATAGAAATGTTTCATACAACACAGTGAATGCAAAAATAAACAAGATTAGATATAAAATGTCTATTGCTGATTATTTTTTTGAAAATTATTCAACAAATTTAAGTTGAAATATCTCTAAAAATAAGAGAACTTCTCGTACAATTATTGTGTAATCAATCATGTTCATTATACTGGAAATTTGACATAGTATAATTTAATAAAGAATTCCATCTGTCGTAACTAAAGTTTATTAGAAACTATTATGTCATGCGATTAAAGACTGATGTATGCTTTTTGATTATTTATTCAAAACATTGTAAAAACACAAATGTTTAAAATACTTCCAATTGGACCACATATACCCATAATAATACCAGCGATAATCATGAGTTGATGCGTAAAAATATCAAGCTGAGTCATTGTTGACCAGTCAATTGAAGCAACGCTTTCAGAAATTATATAGTGAATTAAATAATTAATAAACTTTTTTTTCACCAAATGTCTTCTGAAAACTCTTCACATAAGATTGTTAACAATATTAATGAAAGAGTATAGAAAAACATCAGCGCTCTTCTATATTGAAATGTCAGTACCTGTTATATAATTTGAATAGACTTTTTAATACCGTCGCCTGCGTCCTTTCCAGTGCACTGTTTTAATTAAAAAGAAGAGAAAGCATAATATTATAAATGACACTCGCATTCATCACGGATAAAACTATAGAAACTATTACTATTATGATACAATGTCTTCTACTGTGGAAGTAATCAAGAGTAAAATTGTTCGTCATTTGTATAGGAATTTAAATTAAAAAAATTATATTTAAAATAAACAAAAGCAATGATGAGTCATAGTTTAATTCTATCTTTTAAGTTAAATTCCTAATTAGAATAGAAAGAAATAGAAAAAAAGAATGAGAGGTTCTTAGAAAACTGTTCGTTAAAATAATTGAAATATGAAATTTCTTATATGAAATACCCGCATGCTTTAATATTCTACAAACCTCGACAAAAAATAATTATATATTACTATATAATCATTTTTTGTTGAACGAATTAAGACCTCAGACAGATCTCTTAATCTGACTGTCTACCTCATCTAAGCCTAGGGCACAATTTTCCACCCTAGCTGGTGACGATGGATTAAGCATCGCTCGATCATATTTTGTTTTTTTTTATAAAAACGATTAGATTCACTCAAAAGATTCTTTAATATGTATTCCTATTTTGTTTAATAAATTCCTTTCGTTAGAAGCCATATGTTTAATGAAAACATATTTGATCTTGTCATCTTACACTGATTTAGATAACTTTTACCATCTCAATATTGATATCAATGAAATGTTTAGGTTTCAATAGGAAGATTGTAAGTAATAATAGCTTGTCATAGACGATCAGATCAAACAAAAATTGAATTCTTGATACTCACACATTCCATGTTTTTTGTCAACTATTCATAATCACTGGATAAGAAAAAAATTAGTACCAAGCATCTGCAATCGTTTCAGAAGTCGTCAAAATCGACTTTAAAATAATTTTATAATGTATTCATGAACTTTGATAAATTTTTTTCGATCAAGTGTGTTCAACATGACATGTCAACAAAGCTTAGGTGGTTGACGAAAGGCAAGGATAACTATTCTCTAAAAAATAGGGCTATATTTATAGAAAAAAAAAACTGTTAGCGCAATCTCTGTTGGACTAAAATGTGAAACACAATAGAGCTTCCAACATCGAAAAAAAGGAAAATCACTAATATATGTTTCGATCTGTAAAATACTACCTACTACTAAAGCATGTTGATAATGAAAGACGTTAATCATAATACATTACATTGAGTTTGAAAGAAGAATACCGGATAGTTTTCTTAAATTCAACCGTGTTTCATAATAATTCACCAGTAAACTTCGATCTTGCCAATATGTTTGTTATGGTCTATGAGGTGAAAACTCCAAGACTAACCTATCTGTCACGGTCTGTGACGAAAGTCTGGTGTTGCTAAGATGTCCATCATGGTCAGTGGTGAAGAGAGGAATGGACAATATCCTTCAAAACAGAAAAATTGTTCCACTTCTAGCAGAAATGGTTCATCTCAACAAGGCCAAGGAGAAATGCTTTCTTAAAAAAACTGCAGTCTTCATTTAAATCCATTTATATGAGGAGAAATGAACTATTCACAAAAGCGAAATGCTTCAGCCATTTCTACCTTTACAAACAGAAGTCAAAAAGACTTAAGCAAATATCAATCATATTACTTTTCCAGCCCTAATGAGAAGTGATAAGAGTAATCGATGTTTTCAGGAGAAATGTGATATATTCAAGAGAAATACTGCAACTATTTCAACATTCGATTGTTTTAGTAAATCTAAATCTATTCCAACAATCCAAAGATAAAAAACGCTTCTGTTGTCCATGTTCTCATGCATATTTATGTTGGACAACGGTCGAGAAAGATACAAAAAAATTTGCGTATTATCTTTTGTACTTATTTTAATTACTTTAATTACTTATCTAATAGGTGTCCTCTAAATAAATTAAAATGATCTTCATCATAATTTATTCTGTTTTATTTAACATTTTATATTTTTTTTATCATACCATCGACTAGCACTATTAATTAAATATTTAATAAAAAACACATTCGAGTACAGAAAAAAAATTGGTCTTATTTCGATCACGATTGATTTAATCATGATCGTTTGGATAAACAGGACGTGGAGCTGGGAGTCGATATTGAGGGAATGGACGTAGAGGAAGTGGATGTAACGGCTGTTGAAATGGCAGGGGGTTATTGAGTCGTTGTTGACTTTGCCATTGTTCAATTCTTTGACGTACACGATCCTAAAAGTGATTAAAAAAGTTATTAATTATTTTATAAAACATATATTATATACATGCATTTAATTCTTTATCGCCCAACAACCATCTAACATGTAAGAAACTCGAACCGTGTTGGACACGTATTTCATTATAAAGTGCTTGTTCATCACTCATTTTACAATTGTATTCCAATATCAATATTAATCAGACATAAAATACAGCACAAATTAAGACTTGATACAGTTGCAAAGACGACACGTGATCTATTTCTTACAAGTACATTCGACGAATATATAACAGAATGCTAATCGAATGATGATTTTTCACGTGAAAGATCTAACATATATATCTAATCTATGATCTATAAGAAGAAAGAAAGAAAGAAAAATTGTCGAGTCTATCGTCCTTCTTTTCTATATTTTCTTGTTTTAACGAAAGATTCTAAGATACGTAATAGAGTGAAGCTTATGGTGAATCGAAACGAACGAAAAAGAGAAAAGCGAAAGAGAAAAGTAGAACAAACAAAAATCTGTATTGGAGATGAAATAACCAGGCTACAATAACCACATGCTCTATAGAATTGCCTTTTCTATTCGATATCGTAAAAGTCAAATTAAATTCAAGTCAAACAAATCTCATTGAGTTATACTGATGCCTTGATGTTTCTTTACATAGCCATCAGCAACGCTATAGACAAGACTTTGTTTTCAACGTTATAGAAAACTTAATTGATTTATTATTTGATTATTTTTGTTTTTTCTTTCTGTATTGTATTTCTAATACAACATATGATAACTAGCCAGATCCAAGCAAACTGCATGGCTGCTTGTTCGTTATGTGCATAGACACTCTTCATATTTCCTGTAGTCCTTACACACTCTTATGCTATCTATATTCTCTACTCTACCGACGTTCTAGTAGAGTCTATATAACCCTAGAACTTAGTAAAACCTAACAGTAATTAATTTAACCTTTGACGTGACACAGACACACATACACGCTGAACATTATATATATTTAGAGGATTATTCGTGTATCAAGTCACTATTAATGAAGAATTACAAAATAATATTGCAATATTATCACATGTACACTGTCGTTTTCTGTCTTCAGACATGAAAAAACGAAAAAAAAAGATAACTATATAGGAGAGAATTTTCAATTTATTCAAATTACTTGTACATTAATAGGAACATATAACACATCCAAACAAATTAACTGAATTTGATAACGACAAAAAAGTCAAGCTCGAAAAAAATAAACATATTTGAATTATTTTCTTTTTATTTGTCTGTTTGTTATTAGAAACACTACGGTATTAATCGAATGATTTACATTATGATATAAAACGATAAAAAGTTGTTTAATATTACTTTTAATAATCGAACGATCGTTGATGTCAACTACTACTTTTCGAAGTAATAATTGACATATACGTAAGCTCTGAAGAGCGAGTATTGCATCAAGTAATATTTGATTTGGTATACATTTAACCGAAAGATATTTTCGTAAATGAAGTTCTTTTAAAGCTATACAAATGTATGAAATATCTCTTGGATATATTTTAATCGATAAACTTTGTAATCGAATAAGTTTATTAGCATGCCAACGAAGAAATTAAGGAAAATAATCATATTCACCTTGACTAGCTGATTGTAAATAAATAACACTATTGAGTACTAAATCAGACGATAAGAGATTGACAGGATATTGCAAATGATTACTATCAGTCTCTTTCAATTGAAGATAAAACGAAAGATGATTAGAAGAAAGTATTTGATCAAAATAATGATTTAAATTTTGAAATGCTTGAAAAAGGTCATGTGTTTCTAAATAACGAAAACCTATTGACCATATTTCAATAGGAACTTGTTCAGCATGTGTAATCATTTGATTGGATTTTTCATTCTTGTGGAATATTAAAACAATCCAGAACAAAAAAAGAGTATTTCATTAAATCTTAGCACGACTTTTTTTTTCTTGAAAAAGTTTTTATATAAAATCAAAGACTAAAGAAATCTCACCTAATTTTTTTATTTTCTTCTTTTTTTCTTGATGTCACACTGGCTGCCAAAATATAACAGAAAGCAACAATGGAAATAATGAAACAGATAACAAAATGATTTTTTTGTTTAATCGGAATCTTCTTTAGTTTTTTTCTTATGTTTTTTATGTTTTTTTCAGTTGTTGTTGGTTCACTGGGTATCTAAAAAAAGAAATTTGATTTCTAAAACTAATTTTCTTTAATAAAAAATCATTTACTGAATATTCTGCCAATGCCGAATCATCCATAGTTGATGATGTTTGCATTTGATTATCATCATCTTCTATTTTTTGTTTTTTCTTCTTTTCAGGTTTTGTTTCGTCGGATACTGTTGTTGTCGATGCAATTGATTCATCAAATGGTCGCTAAAATATTTTAATTATATTTAATAAAAAAAGTTCTTTTTTTTTTTTACTTTTGCAACAGCGGGAACTGATGGTGTAGCACTAACATCATAAAGCATTTCTCGCCAATTTTTGGGTGTGTTTTCTGTTGGTTTACCAAATTTACCTAAAATTCCTTCTTTAATCATTAATTTCTTTTTAGATGCCTAAATAAAAATGACAAAAAAAAACGAATTAGATTTGATCGAATTATTTCGAGAATAAAACTTACGATTGGTCCATAACCCCATTTTCTCGGATAAATATCACGTTCCATAACAACACGTTTTATTTTTGCAGCTACACCATTATCACATGTCGCCATTGCTGCTGTTGTCATTAAAGCAATACCTAATGCAACCGCTTCACCTTTTGTTGTTGTTATAACAATTTGTTCATTTAATTCAATTCCATCTTCATAACGAAGAACACCAAGCAATAATAATTTCGCACCGTAACAAACAGCATTTACCTTTTTTTTATACAAAAACAATTTTTAATAAAATTAAAAAAAAACAAAGATCTTTAACATACTGCACTGTCTTTAATAATAATACGTTTATGCGATACAAGTAATGCTTCTAATGGTTTAACAACTCGACGAAGATAACTTTCATCTTTATTATGCATATAAGCATATGTTGCATCAATTACATCATGCATTGTTACCATGCCTTCCTAAAAAATTAATAAAAGGTTTTCAACTTCTTGTTTAATCAATTGGTTTAAACAATCAGCGACGAACGCATCGTGACAATGACTATCATAATGTACGCATTAAGGCAATAAATTACAAGATGAATGTGTTGAGGAATAGTTTAAGTCTGATCGATGACGATCGATCAAAGTCCTGTGACTGAAAAAAATTCCATCCTATTTGACTAAAATTTCAATTTTATATACATGAAAAATTAATGAAAAGAGATATCGCTTGAATTTTTCTGATAAAACCTTCGAGCTTCATTTCTTACCGCTTCTGATTGAATACCGTCCATGTAAAACTGAAACGTAACCTAGACGCGTCTAAACGCGTTAATGGGTGCGTTTCAACGCGTCTATCGTCAAAATCGGTAATGAGCCGCATCCAAACGCATCACATAGATGCGTTGAAACGCATTTGTAGTAAGAATTGCGTTCAGACGCGTCTCAAACACGAACGTGATTTGCTTTCTGTATCTCCTGAAACGCGTTTTTCTGCGTTTGAACTAGATAACGCGTTTTTGCGCGTTTGAGCTAATAGCTGCGTTCAAACGCGTTACATGAGATCAATTTGATTAAAACTCATCTAATCGCATGTTCGTATGACATATTTATGATCAATTGACCGTTAAAATTCGTAGATTCTAGTTAAAAGATGCTTGCATTATGCAAAAATAATTATTATTATAACGAAATGGTAACTTCTCTGTCGACAATAATTTGAAAGATTATATATTGTTGAGAAAACCTTTGTTAGTTAAATTTGCTTAATAAGAAAATTATTTATGTTTGATGAATACTATGAGATTCGGCAAAATGCACAGCTACAAATATAAGAAAAAAATGTACGTCGAGAGGAGGAAAAATAATCATAAGATATAATTAAATAAAAATTTACATCCATGGTTATAATTATTTGACTTGTAGAAATGAATCGATTTTGATCTTGATCTTTAGTGGATAAATCTATAGAAAAAAAAATTGTAGCTATCTTATAGATCCAAATCAAGACATATTTAGTTTTTGACGATGAATATTTTGTTGTTTTCCTACTGAAATTGTTGTATGCCTTCGAATATTTTTCTTCGATCACATATTGTCATCGAAAGAATCTTTTGATATAATATTATGTGAATCATCTCCACTACTTACTTCTTTTACTAAACAAGAAAATAACCCATTAGATTTATTCAAACAAAGATAATTTTCTTTAAACTTCTCAAATCGTAAATATTTCCATTTAATATTTTCCTTTTGTTTAACAACATTAGTTGTTTGTTTTATGTTCAAAGCAATAGAAACATTTCGATTTAAACCATTATTTATACGATCACGATCATAAAATGAAAAATGATGTTTTGGATGATTTTTGCCAAAATTAAAAAGACAATTGCTCTTTATCCAATCCATGTGATATGATTTTTAGAGTTGTTTCGTTGCATTATCTAAGTTTACTTAATCAACGATCTAAATATTCACTTGTATTTATCCCGTTAGATGAAAAAAAAATTAGAGCAATTACTTATTATTGGTTCATTATTTTTCATTGGGCCGTTATCTTTTAAATGCGTGGATTGATGATATGAAAGCTACGGATGGCACTTTACCTTTACTTTACTAGTAACTAAGTAACTAAAGTAGTTACTTTACAAAAGTAACTAGTAACTAAAGTAGTTACGTTACAAAAGTAAATATGCGACCCCTAGTTTCAGTCCTATAAAGCTCTCAAAAATTCGTCTCACACATCTTCATTGTGAATATATTTGTCACCAAAGGCGGCCATGCTCACAACGATTGTTCGGGAAAAAAGTTCTTATTTCCCCTGTTGCGTAAAGTTACATGTTTTTTAAGGCCACAAACATAACATCCGACGGTGGATAAATATATAATTTCGCCGTGTTTCGTTCAAAAATTTACAGCGAAACAAAAGCATTTACACAGGGCGCATTGCACCCCGCGCTCTCCCTCGCGATGATTACGCCACTAGTGCAACGAACCCACAGAAAGATGAATATTTTTTTAATATACAAAATCGTGGAAAATTTAAATCATCAAAGATATCTATTTTTCAAAGTTGATAAGGTTAACATCCGAATATCCTTAAGAAAAATCTACGTTTTTGAAGTTCCAAATTTAGCTTTTCTTGTAAAACGACTGTTTTGACATGACCAAAATTCCTGAGCAGATCACTGTCTCAGTCCTATAAAACTCAAAAATTGGTCTAACACATCTCTATTTTTAATCCTTTTGCCGCCGAAGGCGGCTACGCTCACGACGGTCTTTCAGAAAAGCAGTTCTTATTTCCTCTATCGCGTAAAGTTACATGTTTTCTAGGGCCACAAACATAACATCTCACGGTGGATAAATAGAAAATTCCGCCGTATTTCGATCAAAAATTTACAGGGGTCATTGCACCGCCGTGCCCCCGCTGGTTACGCCACTAACTGCAATAGTTGTCTCAATTTTTCGTTATGTCTGAAATGAACTGCGTTGAAGAGATCTTCTTCTGAGTCATAAATCAAGCTCTAAATAAGTGATTCTTTAGAGATATTCAGGGAGTTAACAATTTTCCAAGGGAATTTTTATGTTTATACTTTTAAACACATATCGAATCTTGCTCGAGAAATAAACAGTTGAGAATGAATATCATTCTTTTCGTCTTTCTTGAACTCATTATGACTGAGCTATATCTTTTCAGTCTAAAGGAAAAATGTGATAGTTCTTAAAAAGTACGGTATTTAAATCTGAGAACAATCTCGAAATGAAAAAGACAGTTGAATTCATTACTTGTATATTCGAGGGTGAGAGCAAGTATCGTCTTCATTTCTGACACTTCTTTTATCCAGAATAACTCACACGCTTAATAACTGATAATATACGCTCTCCAAATCAGCTTGTTTGTTCAATGTAAGTCTGCAAACAGGAATCATCAATTGAGTGATAGTCAACTGTTTGATATATGTGTTTGGGTGGTACATCGATTATTCCATCTAAAGGCCATTTGTTTGATATTCTTTTCATTCATTTCATGTGTTCATTATTCTTGATAAACAATCATCATAACTGTAAAAGAATCTCTTTTCATATGTTGAGAATGTGCATGAAAAATCTAATTAGATTATAAATCCAGATAACCCTCATAGATTGATGAGAATTTTAATATCAATTTAACAATCGACCCAAATAGTATTGTCATGATTTCCAACACATCAGAAGTTCATCAAACAAAAAAATTAGTAAGGAACAAACATATTTGACGTACGTTGCCAATTATTATTGTAGGGGGTCGGAATTCAATCGATCACCTGACTGTTGCTAGTAACATACCTGCTCAATAATGCATATTATCAGAAATGAAAATAAAAAAGTGAATGACGACGACAGTGTCCATCAAATGCTCATCTAGCCATCCCTTATATACAGTGACAACGAATCTTCTCAATGAACCATCGACATAAATCATTCTCAATAGAGATTACAACTTGAATTTGTGAAAACGATCGAAAATCGATTCTGACAATAATAATCTGGAAATTTGAAATTAAAGAAGGAAAGTTTCGGCAAACCCAAATTACACTAATTTCTTCAGTGAAATCAATTTATTTGAAGATCGAAGTGACAGTGATGTGTTGTTAACATATCGTTTGGAAACAAAATTTTTCGTCATCCAAGTTGATTTTGTCTAAAAGCAAGTGATGGCTAGTTAAAGTAGATATGAATCACAAAAAGGAAAGTAACATTCATCTTCCCAATCATCACCTTTCCTCATCTTCGTAGTCTCGATCTTCGAAAGGCAAATGTTGATTATGTTGCTCAATTTCTCTATGACATAAAAATTCATTTGCCTTGTTTGTTAGAACTTAAGATTATATGAATTACTAGTAATGATAACAAACAATTGTACCAATGATGCAAAACGCCTCACTTGTGCTCATTTGCAATCTCTTCTTATATATAGCTCGTATGTTTGTCCAAAAACTTTTCATACATATTTTCCTTCACGTTACATGTAAACTTGTTTTTAAAATTTTTTCAATAGAAGAAATACTTTAACAAATTTCTTTATTTATTTCTTTCATGATGAACTGTATTCACTGCAGAAATCAGCAATCTTCGATCTGTGATGTAATGTTCTTTCTCATTTCTCACTGGCCAGCTCTAAGACCCAGTATAAATAAAGCATATCATAATAATAAAAAAAGTAATCTTCGATAAAATAATCTCTTGAGCGTGAAAGTGTGAGAAATCTTTGTTTTTCACGTGACTAAAACAAAAAAAACTGATATAAACTTTAGAATTATTTAGATGAAAAATTTCTTCATAGGCATTTATTTTATTGTTACAAAATAATATTATTCAGTCAAAGGTTAAGTAACAAGCATATCTCGCCAACAGTCTCTACCAATAATAAGAAGTAAAGCAAATTCTTCACTAGGTGGGTGCTTTATTAGGATGAATATGATGATGTTGATGAGCTCGTGTTGAATTTGTTTCGAATATGTATTCGATGTGTTATCGCATTCCAAAAAAGAATATCGTTGATAGACTAATCCATCGTGTACAATGAAATAACAGTGTTACGACAATTAATGTGAAAATTACACTAAATATGTTATTAAGTGAGTTCTAATGTCGAATGAAGAGGAGTTCGAGCGTGATGTATTTTGTGAATGAACCAAAGAGGTACTCCCGGTAAAAGATAGTTGTGGAATAGATATATAGAATTAATTTTATATTGAGAATTGTTATGCAGCGAGATACGTGCTGATGCGTGTGTGAAACGTTTCGGTAACAACTTCATCCTCAGGGAAGAGACAACTGCATAAATCGGAACTAATGCAATATGTCGAAGAATTCAAGTCAAAAATATCGATTTACACCATTTTTTCTTACAGAGATTTTTTTCTCCAAGTTAAAAACAATTCGCCATAACATGTTCTCCACTTGTTAAAATCTACTTTGAAACGATTGCAGTCTTTAGGAAGAAATTGTTCGACGATTTTCTAGGATTTCACATAGATGCAGAATGATACAAACATCCTTCCCTGAGGATGAGGATGCCACGAAATCTTATTGAGGGTGCTACGGAAATCTTTATTACACACACATCAGCACATATCTTTCTGCTGAGGATGTTCGGAAATCGTGATTCCGCATAAAAACATTTCTTGCTGGGCGATCTTGATCGAATTTGGATGAAAACGTTTGAATTTTTCATTTGCGATTCATCCACTAAGGAATGTGTTTTTCATGTGAAATCACGATTTTCGAGCACCCTCAGCTGGAGAGATACGTGCTGATGTGTATTATAAACCGTTTCATGATACCATCACCCTCAGGGAAGGACGCATGTGTTTATTAAATGTCTGTAAGAAATTATAAATGAAACTGGGATTGGTTAACTTTTTCATATGATCAATTTTTTTCAATGATTTAAAAAGCAAAGCATTAAGAATGGATATCGATATTTTTGATAATATTTTTAAAAATCAATCATAAAAAAGCAACTATAGTCCTTCAATACTTAGACTGATTCATCTTTTAGAAAATATTTATTCAATCATTTTTTTCATGGTATTTAAAACGAACTATATACAAAAAACAAAATGTACTATTTTTAGCAATTGAATCTTACTACCACATATATAATTTTCGATTATTATGATCTACTAAATAATGATCAAGTCATTTTTCTAATTTAACTAATCTCCTCAATCCTGCAATGATGTAGAAACCATTAAGTCTAACGAATTTACGGCATTTCTATTGTACGACTCTACCACTTTGGGACTTGACTACTTAACTTGTGAGGACACTAGAATAAATTTTGAGGTTGCTATCAGCATTCCTGCGGTTGCTATAAGCATTACTGAGAATGCTAAAAATATGCCTGAGCATCCCAGAAGCATTCTTGAGGTTGCTCGAAACATTCGCAAGGATTTTGGAAACACTCCCGCCGTTGCTACAAGCATTCCTGACGTTGCTGAAACCATAATCAATGATGCTGGAGGTACGCATGAAGCTTCCATCAACATTTCTAAGCTCCCTACAATCATTTCCGAGCAAGCTACCAGTATGCGGGACGATGCAAGAATCACTCCCGATGCTGCCAGAATAATCATTCCAGAAACCTCCAGAAGTACCACATAGGATTCCCGCTCCCTCAGTCCTACTGTTGCACTTCTCCCTACTTATCCAACACCTACACTCTCACCCTCACTATTGCCCTTCTGCCTCGTTATCCCACCCACACCCACACCCTCACCCTCAAGAGGGGCGTATACACAAAAATGACAACTTTTTAGGGGATTAGCAACAATAGGTATATTGTGTTTCACATTTTAATCCCGCAGGGATTACACTAACAGCTTTTTTATTTTGTTTTCATTTTCGTTGTATTTGATCAGTTA